GGTACAGGTTGTATTCGAATACAACCTGTACATTTTCTATTCCAGGAAACTGTGGTATTCGAGAAAAGTGCACCCGCAGCGTTTCAATTTCGAAAAAGGCTTCAGGACCACGGCCTCCTCAGCCTTCTCCACGCAGCTACCGGTCCTACGCGGTCCTGGCCCTTGCAAGGCCCCGAAACCTCAAAATGCCCACCCTCCCGACCACCACGACGTTGAAATGACGTTGCACGTTGAAATGTCTCAGGGGGGGAAAACGCAACCCTGACGGGCTGTGAACACACACGGAGAAGCTTTTACCTCTTCTCTCTTTTAACGGAACTACCTTCTTCCCTCGAATACTATGTGCCGTCATTACAGCTGTAATTGTGGTGTCTTTCAGTCTAAATAGGGCTATAATGACCGTACGTTGTATTCGGGGGAATCAGGAAGCACACCCGTCATCACATTCTTCACATTCTTCTCCTCCATTGCCGTCATCAGATTTTTCACTTGCCCTGCACGCTATTGCACGGCTGACAAGTGTAAGGGCAGCCGATGAACGGGATCGGGGGATCGAGACGGTCAAACAAGTGCTAAAAAAAACGATTTTGCAAAATAGCAACAAAAAAAAAACGATTTTGCAAAATTGCAACAAAAGAAAAACGAAAAAGAAAGGGGAAACACTGAAACAGCGATTAAAATTACAGAAAATGACGTACTGAACAAAGCGATGGATACTGGTAGTAAGGGAGGAATAGCCGATGAACGGGATCGGGATCGCGACAGTCAAACAATTGCTAAGAACTGGATTTTGCAAAATTGCAAAAGGAGAAAAACTAAAAGAAAAATGGAAAAAACGATTAAAATTAAAGAAAATAAAACGTATGGAACAAAGCGATTCAGACTGCTAATAAGGAAGGAAAAATGGGGAACAAAAAATACAATTGAAAATGCAAAGTAGAATAAAATCTCATCGGGATGCTCACACGTAGCACCGTTGATGTCAACACCTGCAAATGGCTTGCCGTACACATACATCGTCAAACAGAGCTGCCCAGTAAACCGTAGGCAGAGAGGGAGGGAGAAGAGGACAAGAAACGAGGGGCTGTGACAAACTGTTTCGTCGGAGTTTATGTATATAACCCATTTCACTGCCTGTCCCGACGTAGCAGGTCGAGAACGATGCCATCGAGGAGGTCACAGTCCGAGGCAAGCCACGTGTCACTACCTAACGCCTCCATGAGGGCCAGGACGATGACACACCCCGCCACAATGACGTCCTCGCGGCCTTTCTCCAAGCCAGGGATCCCGACACGGTCGGCGGTCGGGATACCTTTTATCTGATCGAAAACCCGCCGCACCGTGCCACGTGTCAGCTTCGAAAGGTGAACACGTGTACGGTCGTAAGTGACCATCTCCATGCCCATGGCAGCGAGAGTACTAGCCGTTCCAGCAACGCCAATTATCGTGCGCGCCTGCGCGAACACCGGCCGTCTCTTGAGTACCTCTCGGAAGCAACCGAGAGCTGCCACGTGGCACGCCCGCAGCTCCTCAGCGGTCGGAGGGTCACTCTTTAGAAAACGCTCCGTTAATCGAACCGTTCCAATTTCAACGGATTCAATAACCCTAGGTCCGCTATGGGGATCCCATCCATTTCCACTGCCGCGATGGGACCAGACCGTCGATCCTGGAACAGGTTCAGGACCATCCTCTGGACCAGCAACGGCATCATCCGGGAAGCCGGTAGATCGAGATCGTCCGACCTCCTCCGAGTCGGCCGATTCTGGCCGTACGGAGGAGTGTGCGATTGGACCGGGATCGCGATCCTGGACCGCAGCCTGGATCGTCACTCCATTGTCACAACAATTGGATCCGGATCCCGATACTGTAGGACCAGGTTCGGGACCAGTTTCCGAACCAGGACAAGTTTCCGGACCAGGTGCGGGACCAAATGCAAGCTCCGTGGAGCCTCCGCCCATGTCGACGACGAGGAAAGGTCCCATGGCAGGATCCAGACCGGACACGGCGCCGAGGAAAGAGAGACGTGCCTCTTCCTCCCCGCTGATGACGTCCGGACGGACAGATCCCAGCGCCGCCTGCGCAGCAGCAAGAAAGGAGTCGCAATTCTTAGCGCGCCGAGCTGCGGAAGTGGCGACAGCTCGCATGCGCACGCGCATGGTGCGCGGCGGGCGCTCGCCGCCGTCGATCCCCTGCCCATGAACTTTGCCATCGACGACCGCACGATACTCCCGAAGAACATCCACGGTCCTCCGCAGAGCATCAGGTGTCAGCTCCCCTCCCCCATCCCCCAACCCCTCCCCCATGCTTGTGAAGCGTGTCAGTCGCATGCCGCCGTCCTGGGAGAGCTTGCCAGGTTGCTCCACGTGGCACACTAGCAGCCGCGTACAATTCGAACCGCAATCAACAGCCGCGAGGATCTCATCGAAGGCGGCCCCCCTCGCGCACGTCACGGCACCCGCAGTCGCCGCCATAGCCGTTCTCGACGAAGCGCGCACTGGTTGCTTTGTCCGAAAGCGACCTTGTCGTCCTCACCGCGCGTGTCCTCTTTCCGCTTATTGCGCTCCTCGGTTTTGCCGCACCCAAAGCCGCGCCCTACATTAATTAATCATGCTCAATCCGGCGGTTGAGCTTCACGTTTGAGTGAAGGGGACATCGGTAACTGCGCGGCGAGGGAATCGTGAAGGGGACTCGCCATAACTGCCCGTCACTTAGGGCGAGATCACACTGGCAAAGAGGATTGTAACAAGTGTCTGAATGGGGACGTGTTTATGGACACATGCGAAAGGCACAGAAGTTCATTCAGGAGGTCGTGCGTTCGATCCCCATTGGCCTCACGTACGTGCCTGGGCAAGCTTGGTGTTCTACCAGCTAGAGATAACCCGTTGGCCCCCCAAGCCAGCGTTGGCAGGACCTTGGCTGATGTTGTTGGCTGCTATGCCGCGACAATATTGGCCATTAGACACCGCCATGTGGGGTTGGGGGGGGGGAGGGGGAGGTGACGTGACAGGCCATTGCTCGGCGCTACCGGGGTAGCACCGCCGATTTCCCCCATCGGCAATGCCTGCCCACCCCTCGTCACCGTGATGAGGGACTTGTACAGCTTTGCTCTCGCACCACAGCTGTGGTGCACACCTACCCCGTGGGCTGGGGAGAGATCCGGGTTGGTTGGTGTTCCCCCGTACTATAAATAGACTAGTGAGAGGATGAGATAGATACGTACTACCAAGAAAGATGAAATTGATTGAGAGAAGAATATAGATTAGCGTAGCTCCTTTTGGAGCTGCCTTGCAGCGGGCGCGGTCGATCTCGACTGCACGATCACGTAGATCGCACGGCCGAGATTGGCCGCGCCAGATTAGCATGGCCCCTGCGCAAGGACGACACACATAAATCAAGAAATGGTCCAATTTTTTTTATTTTTTTTTTGTTCGATCCCAGAGGGATCGAACTCGGGTCTGTCTTTCAACAACTCGTGGGTATACACGACTGTGGCCGTTGGCTTATGCCAACCGTATTATTACTACTTTTCTGCACCTCTGCTTGGAAAACGTCGAGATTCAGACACTACCGTATTATTACTACTTTTCTGCACCTCTGCTTGGAACACGTCCAGATTCAGACACTTCTTCCGATCCTCTTTGCCAGTGGGATCTGGCCGTTACAGCAGCAGTAGCGCGGTTCGAACGCGTCTCGGTGCAAGTGTCTCGAAGTTTTTCTTATTTTTTTTTCCTACTCTCTCTCGCAGAATTCGAGCTCGTGAGTCGCTTGTTTCCGTGGCCAAGTCCCACTACCCGCACCGTGATAATGAATGTACACAAGCTATATTTCCGATCAGGTACAGCCGAAATGAGGGAGCGTTGTGTTCGGGTACCATTGCTCCTGTTCCGGTAACGGTGCCCTCCATGTTGTGCAACACTCCTTGCCACCGCCGATGCCATGGATCGTACGGCAAGGCCATTCTCTTCGCTTTTTTTTTTTTTTTTTTTTTTTTTTTTTGACGCAATTTTATGTTTTTTTGGAAAATACAAAGTGATTTGTTATTTGCATGAATGGATCGTTTTCTGATAGTGATAATTTGCAAACTACCCCCATAAGTTTAGATGTATGTCAAAATGCCCCCGAAAGATGTGGGTAGAGCGGAATGCCCTTTTGGGCCAAAATCTTTGTGTTGTCCCCCTGTCAGCCGGGTGTCCAACTTTGCAATCTGGACCTCCCCATTTGGGCCTCGGCCTTTTGCAATAGCGCCTAGGAAAAGCTGGCAAGTACTGGGGCATTTTGCAAAGTTGGATTTTACCCGGTAGGGGTATATTGCAAAGATGGGGGTCCAACCGACGCTAGGGGCATTTCACAAACTACATTTTTTGTCAGAGGGGTATTCCGCTCTACCCACATCTTTTAGGCGCATTTTGGCATATATCTCAACTTATGGGGGTATTTTGCAAATTATCCCTTTCTGATTTAAAATGAATTGAATTAGCACATAAAACTATGAAGAGCAGCTGTGCACTGAATTCATGGGTTGGTGCGATCTCCTTCACGTAAGTCTTCATAGTGATGTACCGTGGCAAAAAAATGTGTCCACGAACACAGCCACGAGGATGAACAAGTAATGGGTATGGGGATACATTCACCACCATGTATCTCATGATGCCTCTAAGCATTCCTGTCAGATCCACCACGATATCTGAATTTCACATTTCAAGTTCCATTTCTCAGAGCCAAAAAAAAAGAAAACCAAGTCTGGAAATCAACCCCCCCCCTTTCGAGTCCATAAAATCCAGACTTCCCGCCCACGCAAAGCCACAAGCTATCATGTCCAACTTTGTTTTTTTTCCTTTTTTGACGCATCTCATTGGACGGGAGGGAGGTGGGCATCTTTACAGTCCCGGCTCGGGAACTACCGGGCCGTCGAGATCGTCGAGATCCGATGTAATCCACGGCCGTACTGTGTCACTCGAGGCCACACGTGATCGAAATCCTGAACGAAGTGGTAGAATACTTCCTCGCTAATGGGTCCAGGGCCCGGGGACCTCACAATTCTACCCGGAGTT